CAGAGAGTTTAAATAGATAGCTTCCTAGTTAGGCTATAGGTATAACAGCTAGTGTAGAACCCCTAGCATAGCACTAATGCTTCGGGCGGACTACTTACTCTCATGATACTGATGTAATATGTAAAGCCGGTGCTAAAATTAACATTGGCCTACCGCTTGTACTAATAAAGTGCCAAAGGCCTAAGTGGTTACCTTAATATTTAAAAAAAAAATAATAATAGAGTCAAATAAGGTAGTATCAAATATATTAAAGTAGAATAGAAATAATTTAATTTTATAATTTAATTTTAGTACATTATTTTGTTAAAGTGCGAAATTACTTAGTTATATATTTGGTAGTATTTTAAATAATAGAGTCAAATAAGTTAGTATTTAATATATTAAAGTAGAATAGAAATAATTTAATTTTATAATTTAATTTTAGTACGTTATTATATTAAAGTGCAAAATTACTTAGTTATATATTTGTTAGTATTTTAAATAATAGAGTTGAATAAGTTAGTATCTAATATATTAAAATAGAATAGAAATAATTTAATTTTATAATTTAATTTTAGTACATTATTATGTTAAAGTGTGAAATTACTTAGTTATATATTTAGCAGTATTTTAAATTATATATTGATAAATTAACCAAAGCTTTTAGTAGTATGTAAAATAAATAATAAAAAATAAAGCCAAAATTTTAGTTTCTACTTGGTTGTTCTTTTATAAATGCTTATTTCAGTTTGTGATGAAATAATTTAAGAAAATTTACTGAAAAAAAAGCTTCTGCCATTATCGTTATTTAGACTTACAACACAATATTAGCAAGAAAGTGTTTTTTTATTCGATTGTAATGAGCTGTATTAATAAGTAAAAAGAAATATTTAATAAACATTTAAATTTTACAGAAATAACAATTACAAACCAATTATTAGAATCGATTCTTTTTTACATTAATTTTTAAGCCATCCGATCAGTAATTTATTTTATTCAATAAGAACAAAATTTGTATTCGACCAGGAAAATTCTGATCTGTGATTGCTGCTATATACATTCTTTAAAAAATAATGCAGATCCCAATTACTAGATCACAAGATGTTTGACTATAAAAATTGTACGTACAAAGTTCTTTTCTCAGATAAATGCATCATATAATTTTTATTTATTTATCTTTGCCCTCCCTTTTATAATAGGAATTTAATATTAACTACTGAATTAAATTTATCTGACCTGATTAGCAATACAACTAGAATTTCTAGCCTAAATTTATTAACTTGAAGTCAATTTGTTATAATAGGGGGTTTTAGACTTAAGGTCAGGTTTATTTTGTAATCTGCAATCTATAAAGCCTATTTATTTTTATTTGTAAGCCTATTTATATAATAAGATATAATACAATCATTAATAAATTTTGTTTATTTTATCTCTAGACAGGAAAGTGATATTAACTGAAAAATTAACTTCAAACAGCCTAATCTATCTTTGCTCATAATATTTTTATCTCTATTTTATTAATTGTTCCAATATCAATAAAGGTTTTGTTACTATTTGTATATAAACCTTCTCAAACTGTACAACTTTTTGATCACAGATAATTAACTATGAATTGATTGATGATTATATTCATATAAGCACAAGGCTACAAAGTGAAACTGGCCTTTATTATTAAGTTTTTTTTTTTATATTTTATTTATTTATTTATTTTACTTTTTATTATTTTTTATTTTTACATTTTATTTATTTATTTTTTTCTACTTTTATTTATTTATTTATTAGCAAATAATCATTATACATAGCAGAATTACTGCCCAAAATTAATAAAATGAATGACCGCCATCATTATCATATACCTCTTTGACATGATCTACCTCACTTTCAACAAGATGTCTATAATAACTTAGAGACAATGCTTCCCATTCTTTCTTAACCATCCTTTCAAGTTCATTAAGATTTTTGGGTCTTGGATGACACTTTCAAAGATTCACTTCAATCTCAGACCAAAGATTCTCAATAGAATTAAGGTCTGGGCTATACAGAGGCCATTTAAATATTTCAACATGCTTATTAGCTAGATAGTTTTTGATGATTTTGCCTTTATGAACTGAGGACCATCATGTTGAAATATCCTATTACTATTAGAATATTGGTCCTAAAGCTTTGGAATGGCATAACGAATAAGTGTTCTATAATAGGATGCACTTGTGACACTACTGTAGAGACAGATAAAATGCCTGAGACTCTACCAAGAAAAACATCTCCACATCATAATCCCTTTTGATTTAATTGCTAGAACAAGGCAATCAACATTAAATTCTTCGCCTGGCCTCCTCCATACGTGCTGGTAAGGATTAGAATAAACTAAAGTAAAATACTTTTCATCCGACCAGAGAACATCTTTCCAATTTTCAGCCGTCTAATTAAGATGCGCTTCTGACCACTCTTGACGCTTTTTTTTAGTCTTGTCACTAATAAAAGGCTTTATGTGAGTAACACATAAGACCAGATTAGCTTTGCGAAGAGTATGGCTGATAGTTCTTTGAAAAATTAACTAAAAAAAAAAATTGATCCAAATAAAAAAAAAATTAAATAAAAAAAAAAATTATAGTAAATTAAAAAAAAATTAAATTAAAAAAAAAATTAAATTAAAAAAAAATTAAATTAAAAAAAAAATTAAATTAAAAAAAATTAAATTAAAAAAAAATTAAATTAAAAATTATTATTACTTTGCCTTCTTGCTGTTTCAATACAGCTTGAATTTGTCTTTTAGTAATATGCCAATTGCTTAAGACAAGCTGTATTAAACGATCTTGTGCTAGTTCATCTAAGATTGGTGGTCTTCCTCAACAATCCGGTAATACTTGAGATATGTTTTCAAGTCAGTTAAGCACATTCCTAACAGTCTTGTGACCACAACTAACAAGTTTGGCAATTTGTCTATATGACTTGCCTAACTTTCACACAGATATAATTTCTCTATGTTTCTTTTCTGAAAGTGTTATAATTTAAAGCTATAATGATAAGTACCTTAACGAAATATATTTATATTCCAAATTTCTAATTAACAATTAAAATTAATTTATTTAGCTTGGTTTATAAAAAAAACTTATTAAATAATTACAGCATAATCATGCAATAAAGATTTGTATTATGCATGTGGCATTAAAGGTGTTCAAAATACTAGTAAATCAAATATTAATCATTATCTGCAGTAAATTCAGATTTTCATCATATGCGACCCTGATTAATGTTTATTTAGGCTATTTGAAGTTAATTTTTCATTAATATCACTTTTCAGGACTCTTGGAAAAGGGAGGAGGGGCAAATGAAATGAATATATAAAATGAGCAACCTATTTTTAATGTAGTAACTATATTATAATGAATTGACTTAAGTTAAATTTAGGCTAGAAATTCTAGTTGTGTTGCTACAGTAATTAGGTCAGATAAATTTGATTTA